TGTGTGTGCATGTTGTCACAACTAATTGATGTTTTCCGTTTGGCAACTATGAATCCCAGAGATTAACTACAGTATTCCCCTACCCAGACCCCTCTCTCTTTCACCTACTCTGTCTCTCCGCTATGCTTGCAACAAATTGCATTTTAACCTTTTTCGTTGCTTTATTCTTCGCTCAAAAGCTCTGATAAAAATGCTCACAATAGGGCAACGGGCAGCCAAAGCATAACGGTCCTTTGTGCAACCTTTTGTTGCATATTCCAAATATTTTCCCAATTACTGCAACTTTTATTCCCGACTGGAGTTCTTTATTTAATTTATCACTTTTGTTTAATTTTGTTTCTCTGGCACAGCGAAATAATCCACTCTGGAAAAAGTTCACGTGGAACAACTCTGAATGGAACTTTTGCTGCTGTCATTTCCATCGATAAGTCCGCCAACAACCATAACCATAACAATACACAAAGTAAGCCAAATAATCGCGGGGCCTGGCCTGGCCTCAGCAAAAGCAGTTTAGGTCCTGATGAGCGGAGCGCCAAACACCCAGCAAGGTCAATTCCTCGCCCGAGTGGCTTGATACAAAAAATATGATAAGCCAAAGACGACGACAGCCAGAGCAGCTGCTACCCGACAGCATACGCAGGGGTAGCCGAAGTCGCAATCTTTTAGCACACTGTTATACGCTGTTATCCGAGCTAACATGGCGCTGTTAACCTCGCTAACATGGCTCTGTTAGCTGCAAGCCGTTTTGCATGCCGAACGCGTTCGCAGTGCTCACGGCTTTTATGCGGCCATTGTGGCGGCATGAAACTGTTTTGATATTTTATTTTCATACATTTTTATGGCCTAGTAAGCAAATTGTTAGGGCGCGTGGCTAATACGCAAACAGTGGTTGGGGGCGTGGCAGAGATTAGTGACGAACAAACTTAGAAGCTGAGGACTGAGGGATGCTCCATGTGAATGTTGATGATAGATTCGAAAGTGAAAAAGTGTAATTAATTTTAAAGCTTAGTTGTCAACTGTCGTGGCTTGTGGCATGCCATCCTCTTGCGGCACATGATGAAATTTCTTGCCATTGCCATGCCGCAAATCGCAAATTAAATTGAAAGCTTTTGGGTTCCATAATCTCGAATGTACGTACATAAGCCGAAACAAGCTGAACTCAACCGAAAAACCGAACAAACTGCCAACTGCCGATTCATTGTGTGTCAAATTAATGACAAAGTGAAATATCTACAACTACAACAATTTTAGAACAAAGGCAGAACAAATACCAAATGAAGAAACTTTATCCATAGCACATGACACGGCACCACTGACAGATGGCAGCGAAAAATAGGTACAACTCCATGTTACCCTGTGTGTCCCTGGACAGCACTGCATCCTGCATGTCCAGTTATTGATTAGCAGAAATGAAACATTGAACTATCTATGGTTTTTCATGCCTTTAGGCAGTTGTACAGACATCCTGCCAGCTGCCAGTTTCTGCCTGTGCCAAAACTCCCTGCCGCTCCTTGATTACACGTCCACTGTGGTGGGTAACTAAAACTCTGCCCCGGAGGTAACTTTTTCGCACAGAATGCGTGGCGAGCCAAGCCAAAGCGAAACATTTCCAAATTAATTCGAAAACGTTTCAAACGCACCCGGTAAACTAATCACGGCTGGGCTGCACTTTCCTGAAACCACAAAATGTACGGAACGTAGCCCCACGGCTGCCATGCCGCAGCAGAGAGACTGTAACAATTTTGTAATGGCAGGCAGCGCCAATCCAAAATTCGAAAAATCCAATATAAAATGTACCACCAGGCGAGCGCCATGCACGCCCTCACGCCCGCCCGCCCTCCGGCAAATGAGTTAAGTGGGCGGCAGCAGGTGGGCAGTGCGAAGTGGACATTGATAGACGTGTCAATCCAATTGGAAAAATTGGAAACAGCCTGGTCAATTTCCTGGTCAAGCGTTGTGTCTGTTCCATTGGTACTTTCCATCTGACAGTGAAACAAAACGCACATTTTCGATTGATGCCAGGAGATGAGATGGTGGCACGAAGAAAGGTTCAGGCAATCTGTTTAACTAATGGATACTCGAGTTTCGTTGTAGCATTTTAAAGTTTTTTCAGGCTTCTCCTTGTTTGGTCATGATCTCCGCGTGTTTGCCCTGAGGGACTCTGACCTTTAGTTAACTTTTCATAATCGATGAGCAGGCAAATCCCATATAGAAAAGCCGCTCCACCGCACTGCCCCCCAACACACACCCAGACCATCCATATAAAGGGTTTTCAACTTTCAACCCTGCACCTTTTTTCATATTCTCTATCGGCCCCTTACAATAATAACAAGCAAGTGTGTCTGGGGCAGGAGCAAAGTTTTGGCAGCCGAAAGTGGCCTAAGGAATATTTTTTTTTTGCTCTCACCCAGTCTCTTGTCTGCCTTCCTTATAGCTCCCCAAGGGGCGTGTTTGCCTGGGTGTGTGTGGGCGGAATGGTGTGCAAAGTGTTTTAAAATAAAGATGCTAAGCTTTAAGCATAATGGAATGAAAGTAGGTAAAATGATCAGTCCAAATGGGTACAGAATATTATAAAACAGGTCTAAGAGCACAGAAAAATCCCTTAAGAATTTTAAATATATAAATGGTTAAGGAAAAACAGTAAACGTTTCTGCTCTCACTTACCTTTTGGGCAATAATATTATGCCATAAGCAGCATTTTCTGCTACTGTGAGAAGTCGTCGAGTTAGTGGTTACGACGGGAGGATTAACGGAACGGATTTTTGAACGAACGGTTTACGAAACGAATACGCTTTGCGGCTCTGTCTTTACTCTTGCGGGACAATTAACTGTTTTTACTTTGAACTCACTGGAACACTTCCACTCACTTTTGCCGAACCGCCAGGCACCCCTTGCCATCATAATGACCATCTTCGCCTTTCACTAACACTTGCACATATCACAGAGTGAGATTTTTTTCCGCTCTTTCTTTAGTTTTGCGGGACATTCAACTGTTTTTCATGTGAACTCACTCCAACACTTCACTCACTTTTGCCGAACCCGCCTGGCACCCCTTGCCGTCATAATGACCATCTTCCACTTTCACTCACACTTGCACTAGCACTTGCACTTTTCACTGAGTGAGATTTTTTTTCCGCTCTTTCTTTAGTTTTGCGGGACATTCAACTGTTTTTCATGTGAACTCACTCCAACACTTCACTCACTTTTGCCGAACCGCCAGGCACTCCTTGCCGTCATAATGACCATGTTCCACTTTCACTAACACTTGCACTTATCACTGAGTGAGATTTTTTTCCGCTCTTTCTTTAGTTTTGCGGGACATTCAACACTTCACTCACTTTTGCCGAACCCGCCTGGCACCCCTTGCCGTCATAATGACCATCTTACACTTTCACTAACACTTGCACTAACACTTGCACTAGCACTTGCACTTTTCACTGAGTGAGATTTTTTTAGTCTCTTTCTTTAGTTTTGCAGGACATTCAACTGTTTTTCATTTGAACTCACTACAACACTTCACTCACTTTTGCCGAACCGCTAGGCACTCCTTGCCGTCATAATGACCATCTTACACTTTCACTAACACTTGCACTAACACTTGCACTATCACTTGCACTAGCACTTGCACTTTTCACTGAGTGAGATTTTTTTTCCGCTCTTTCTTTAACTGTTTTTACTTTTAACTCACTCTTACACTTTACTCACTTTACACTCCCATTCGCAGCCACAGAAAAAAAAAAACACTCAGAGTAGCGATCAATGCGCTCAATATTTCCACTGACTTTACACTCTCATCTCGTGCTCTTTACCTGCACTAGAGCTCACTCTCACTAAACAGAAAACAAAAACAAAAAACAACTCAAGCCAACGTGCACATCACACCATAGTGCCGTTATTTTGCCTCGCCTTCTTTCCTCTCAAATTCCAATAGCTGGAAACGAGCATGAGCAGCCCTAAACTGCGACGCCATTGCCATTTTGGGGGCCTATTTACGTATTTTATTTTATTTTACGTAAAAATACATGGAAACTATTGTTTTCACAATCGTATCATCTTTTTCACTTGTGGGAGCTATCCGCCAACATGGATGTGCACTTTTCGGGATTTTTCCAGATCTTTTCTTCACTTTTCCGTCTTTCTTAAATATTTTTTAAGACTTTACTGTATGGCTTTTCTTCACTGCACTAATTCACTGCGCGAACATTTTCCGGGAGGATTTTCGATTTATTTCCCGATTTTCGCGACCCGACGCGAGGAGCTCACTTAAAACCGCGCGCTTTGTTCCGTCCGAAAAATCAAATAGTGAGATAGAGGCGCAGGTTTAAATGTGTAGGTGGCTTGTTTCTAGAACATTCCATGCTCTCTTGAATTTTGTCTTCTCCTCTCCTGCTCCAAGAGAGTGTGCGTTTGATGAATTTTTAATGCAACGGTGAATGTTGATGGGTGCAAGGGGTGACAGTCCACAAGCCGAACATTGCCAAACTATGGAAAGATAGAGAGTCGCCGATTTGATGCTCTCTCTTAACTTTGACGTTTGCATTCTCCTTCTCCTACTACTAAAGTGCAAACATTTGTTTGTGCATTTGCCGAGTGACAACTTTTTAATGCAACGGTGAATGGCTAGAAGGGGTCAGTGATGTGCTTGATGTGTTGTTGGTGAAGAGGAGAGAGGAAGAAGCGCAAAAACGAATGTTCGAAGAGAAGGAATAGAAAATAAACCATTGCAGATATTTCTCTGCCAATAATGTGTTATCTAGAAATCCCTGTAAACATCTATCTTTACGGTTCACGTTCTCTTTCTGCACCGTGCATGATTATTACAAATTTAAGTTGCCCGCTCTGTTTCATAGCAGCCAGCCTCTTAAGCAGTTCTCCCAAGAAGCAGCCGTTCCCAAATACCACAAAGTATATTTTGCAATGAAAAGGTATATTTTGGTATATTGTTGAGGGTCGTGCGGTATTTTTGATAGATCAAATCCGCGGTCACATTGCATCCCGGTTTACGTTTGCCAAAAATATCAACAAAGTAAACAAATAAAAAACAAATTAAGCAATCAAAATGACTCAAGATATGCTGCTGGACAACGAGGAGCCTGCCAAGAGCAAGGAGACATTCCTGGAGAAGTTCTGCGTGCTGGCCAAGAACGCCACCGGCGCCGCACTGCTTGACGTGCTCAAGCAGGCGCTGGAGGCGCCGAATGTTTTCGTTTTCGGGGAGCTGCTCGTGGAGCCCAATGTGGCGGAGGTTAGTAATTGCCTCTCTACTTTGATCTCTAATAACTCTGTTTGTTTGTTTGTTTGCTTGTATTGCGCAGCTTAAAGATGGCCCCGATGCCAAGTACTACAACACACTGAACCTGTTCGCCTATGGCACGTACAAGGAGTATCGATCCAAGGCCGGGGACTACATCGAGCTGAGCCCGGCCATGCAGAAGAAGCTGCAGCACCTGACCATCGTGTCGCTGGCCATCAAAACGAAGAGCATTCCATACGCCCTGCTGCAGCAAGAGCTGGAAATCGACAACGTGCGTCATCTGGAGGATATCATCATTGAGGCAATCTATGCGGGTAAGCAAATGGCTTGTCAGCGCCAGCACTTGCACTGGGACACACTCTCGGATCCATAAATAATCGCCTGAAAGTTAATTGAAAAAGTTTAGGCAAACATTAGCCCAGACAGCAAGCAGGCAGCAGACAGTAGACACCAGCTGCAGCTCGCGGTAGAGACTTCAAGTTTGTCTTTTGCCTTTGCAGAGTTCTAAGTTTATGCGGGCGGACTTGGCTCACGTAAAACAGACACCCAAAGACGTGAATTTTCATGGCCACTCCTGGCTCCTGGCTCCTGGCCGAGTATTTTCTCATCATATTTTGCATAATTGTATCAAATGCTAATTTTATTCGCGCGAAACTCTCGCACAGTAACTAACGAATGGCGGGGCAGACTTAATTAGCATTTTTTGAAAACTCGAGCTGGTGGAATCAGCAGCACATAAAGTCCGTGACACGCCCACTCCCCACCGCCCCCCTGGGGGGCAGTGCACTTGATTAGTCTCGACAGCTGACGCATCCCCTGTCGCTCCTCTTGAAAACGATTCACGGACCTGGACCATGTCGGGGCCATGTTTTCTTTTGCCCGATTCATTAGCCGCTGCCCACCAGTTGCTGGTTCTGCACCTTCTGCTCCAACTAGCAGCTCAGCGGCGACAGCTGGATGAACACTTTTCCTCATTGATTGCTCGCTGGAGCAGCATCACTCGTTTTGTGCAGCAAATTTGAATGGTCTCTGGCTCAGACAAACTTTATTTGTGCTTTCTGTTCCAGCTCCCATATTAGTTGGGAGTTTTTGCTTCAGTTTTGGCAGCTTTTACCCGAGCTGTGGCTGCTTCAAAAATGCGTATGGCTTCCACTTTGGGTGTTCGGTTTCTCTGTTACAGCCGTAAATCAAACACAACAAGCAAACCAAACTGTTGTTAAGCCCTCGAGTGCCGGAATCCGCAAGACACACACAGAATGTATGGCCCCCATGTCCGGTGCTCGCAAACCTTCGTGGTGCGTGGTGCGTGGTTCGTGGTGCTGCTGTGGATATTTCAGCTTTGTGTTGGTCCAGAAACAGAAATATGCAACTCAACTGCAGGAGTAATATTGGTCAGAGTTTGGTTCTGTTTTGCAGTAATTGATTCCACAGTTAAGCTGACAGAGACTGACCAGCGAGCGCTCTGCCTGCCCAGAGGGTGCGGTTGCCAAGCAAAAAACATGCTACAACTTTTGAATGGCAACTGCTGGTCGTCCATTATCAGAGCAAACAGCTCAGTGACAACTCCAGCGACGCCTTGTGCCCTGAAGGCCAACTGTCTTATAAATAACATTTGCCATCCCCCCACCGCGACCCGTGTGGGCGCTGTGCCTGCCCCATTCTAATTGCTTCCAAATCCTAGGGAATCGCGACTGAGATTTATATTATGATAGCCATCAGCACCAGCACCAGTCCAGGGGCAGGTGAAAGATGTTAGCAATCCGAAATCAGTGCATACCATTAGACGCTGCCGTAATCTGACATCGCAATTTAATGTACTTGGAGGTGGAGAGTGGCGTGCTCCAGGGCAGAGATGGCTCGCTCTCTGTTTGCCTTCTCATTAATGCTGCTTCTGCTGGCATTAGAGGCCCATTTGTTTTGTGTGGGGTGGCTGGGGGGAGTTTTTATGGTAATTAAATGCTTTCTATAATTGAAATTCACTTGAAAGCCGTTGAACCATTAGTGAATTTTCCATTATTGTTGTCTGCTGATTGATTTGCACATTCATGTTTTGTCTGCCGTTGCAAGAGCGAAACTCAATCCCATTAGCGTAGATAGAACTGCCGTTGGCTGACCCAGTTGAGAGGTTTTTAATATGCTTTGCAGATTTGTTAACGAACGACTGCAGCAGAGGCCTCGAAAATGGGCCAAAAACTCATGAGAGATGCCGCTGCAACATGGTGGCATGCCAGCAGCCCGCCATGTTTCATGTGTGCCGTTGCCACTGGCTGCATTGAGGTCTGGGGCTGAGCTTCGGGTGCTCCTTTTGGATGGTTGTGGCGTGTTGCGGCGCAGACTTTAATTTCTTTTGTAAGCCCTTATGTCAAAGGCAAGTTTCGCATAATTCCGCATGCTCAAGAGCCTCCTTTTTGGCATGCCTGCTCTTTATGTTACTCTAGGGATTTGCAATGCAGAAAAGCAGCAGAGGAAAGTGCAAAAAAAAAAAGAAGGGAATTCGTGGGATTTACTGCTGTGCCAGTGGGCAAGAGGTTAAGAGTCTTACAGCTGTTACTGTTACTGACCCACAAACAAATGGAAATCGGCTTACAGGCAGTTAGCCACCAGTGTTTGGCCACTGCAAATCGGATTTCGTTTCATTTCAATGTTAAACTGAGTGCAAAAAGTAATCGTATCAAATGGAAATCCATGAACAAATCGTGTAGGGACGCTGATCCGTGCAGGATATGCCAGCTGCAGGTGCATTTCCTGGCCCAAAACCCTTCTCAATGTCGCTCAACTCTGATGGCGCAGCTGTTTCTGATTACTTCTCCACTCCAGCCTCCACTCCAGCCTCCACTCCAGCTGCATTTCATAGTTTTCATGGGCCTCCGGCTTATGCCCGTAACTTGTCGGTATAAACTTTATTTCGGTGAAGGAAGCTCCATAATCTGTGTGCACTTTCAGTCGGTTTTAGGTGAAAACTTTGCACCAGCCCGCTCCCCTTTCCCCGCTTTCCCCGACTTCACATTCATGGCTGAAGTTTTGCCATTCCCGATGAGGTTAGGCCCAGCCGCCCCGCCACCACCGCCATTTTTAGCTTACGCGTTTGTAGTAACCGCTGCTGCTGGGGCTTTTGTGTTTAAAATTTCAATTAATACGTTCCCATTTTATTGCGCCAGGTGGGGGGATATTGCCAAGCTCTGTAGCTGACAGGCGCTGCTGCCAGTCGCCCGAGGGAGGGAGCATATAAAGATTTATTTATGCTGCCAATTATTAATACAATACTCGTGGAGCGGCTGTGGCGTAGGCTTTAACAATTTTATTTCCATCAAAAATGTTGCAACAATCGCAATCGCCACCGCAACGGCAACAGCTACAGGCTCAGGCTCTGGCTCAGGCTCAGGCTGCAGCTAAAGCCACAGCCAGGCCAGGCCACAGTGTCGACAGCCCACTCGGGCGATTCGTTTCGTCATGTCCGTCAACGCTGTTTTTTTTTACACAATTTTGTGGGTGCAGGCATTAAGCATGATTGATTGTATGCGCTGCGCGTTTCGTGCCACGCAACAGGAAAAAGCCGCAAAATTCGCAGCCCACCACAGAGACTGTGACATGCACAGGACTGGCAGGAATGGGAGCCGCCCAAGACAAGACACATGTCAACGCCCAAAATGGCGCACAACATTTTACAGGCCTGCCATTTCAATCCGATTTCCAGCTGCGCCCGTCTGGCGCTTGCTTTTCAATTATTTGTCGCCATCAAATTCAATTTGCTCTCAAGCTAATTAGAAATATTTTTGACAAATTGTCACAGCAAATCACTTAAAGAGAGTTAAGGCGAAATTTAATTGAATCTGAGTGCGAATTTCCAGCATATTTCCATGCAATATTCATGACACGACCGAGCTAATGGCAGTAAAACTGGGTCCGCTCAAGGACACTTGCTCGTAAGTTCAAGCTGGACGGGAAAAAGCGCTTAAGGGCTTAACTTCTGGCCTTAGTTATATGGCCCAAAGAGGAGAGACATTTATGGTGGAAAAGCAAAGCATTGGCCCTGGCCCTGGCGGCTGAAATAGTGTCTCCATCAATCGACAAACACGCAGCCAGATCCCCGCTCTAATCTGCTAGGGCAAATTTGAAACGCGCAGTAGCAAAGTTTTGAAACAGTTTCAAATGAATTACACCAAGCCACAGACAGACACACGACTCGAATTCTCCTGGACTCGGGGAGTAATTCCAGACAAGAGCTAATTGCTACTCCGGCTTGTGTGTGTCCTGCCAGTGGATTTTAGAGTATTTTCCGGCTTTGGATTTGATGGCCTTCGTTTGCTTATTTATTTTATGAGTCTGTTGTGTGTCAGTTTTCTAATTGATTAATTGATTTGGGAGTAGCCCTAGCGGAGATTACGACCACTTGGGGAATGAAAAAGAAAGATTGATGGGGACGGGGACTCGGCTTAAGCTCATTGTTTAATTAGTTAAGGTTTCGGTGACAACTTCAATGAAGTCCCTTAAAAAGCTGTCAATCCAAATGCAGCTCTAAATGCCAACAATTTCCATCTGCAGGCTCACACGTCACAGGTATGCACAAAAAAGCTTTTTCGAGTAAATTCCCAGCTATGTGGAAAAGGCTAAAATGACTTTTTGACACGCTGGCCACAGGCAACGACTGGCAGGTGGATATGCTGCATAGGCAGCTGAAAGTTTCAGTTGCATTCGAGAAAACTTTGCAGTTTCATCACCACAAAAAAAGCGTTGACGCGCCTCTGGGGGGTGGGCGTGTGGAAAGTGTAATCCGGAGCAAAGCCTTTGGCTTGTCACTAGGCGTCTCGAGTGCACTTCAAGCGACACTTTAGTCCAACTTCAGACAGTGTTCGTTCTGGGCAATTAGTCAGCTGAAAGTTAACAAGACGCTGAGAGGATTAGTTGTGCCTGGAAAAACTTTATGCATTTTCTGTGCTTCTTTTTTTGCTGCTGCAGACATCATTCATGGCAAACTGTTCCAGAACACACGCATCCTTGAGGTGGAGTACGCACAGGGTCGGGACATACCGCCGGGCAACACGGGCAAGATTGTGGAGACACTCCAAGCGTGGGTCAACTCCTGTGACGGCGTCTCCAGCTGCATCGAGAATCAGATCAAGTACGCCAATGCCGAGAAATCCAAGCGTTTGTTCAACAAGGATCGCGTGGAGAAAGATGTGAGTATAAGATTGGGAGCTGCCATAGATCAAAGCATTATGATTACTTCTGTTTGCTTTGCAGCTCATAAACCTAAAGAAAATACTCAAGAGTCAGGCCTCGGACAGCGATGAGAGCATGCAGATCGACACGCATGGACCGAGCGGCAGCGGTGTCCTCAGCCTGGCGGATCTGCGCAAGAAACCCTCCAAGATGAAGGCCCAGCGGAATGCAGGAGGTTGGTTTATCCAAGCGAAATTGCTTTGCGGAATGTCCGCGCTTACTTTAATGACTTTCTCATTAATTAGAAACCTTGCCATTAATTATTTTTGTTGTCACACTTTTCCTGCCCCTTTCTTCCTTTTTTTTAGTGGGCCTGAAGTTCAGCAAGTGAGTGCAGGCCAGCCGCGCGCAGGAGCTGGACCTGGGCGAGGTAGGCAGCAGCAGCAGCAGCAGCAGCAGCGGCGACTCAAGGTTAGATGCAACACCGCGCGGCACTTGAGGAAACGGATGCCAAGCAGCAGCAGGACAAAAACCACAACCACACACAAACACAGCTGGCAAAACAAATAAATAAAATACACATATGTAATAATAATAATAACAATAATAATCAAAACGTATCGAAGCGCACATTAATTAGTGCAGAAATTCACACTCATCTGCGTGTGTGCCACGTGTAATTCGATTATCTTCTTCCTGTCATTCTGTGCCGCCACAAATGGCCATTTAATTAATGTCCGAATTTGGTTTTAGACAAATGTTTGTCCATCATTTGAGTGTAAATCTATATTGTGCGTGCTTTTGCTGTGCTACGACCCACACTTTGCCATTTGATGTGTTATTTGTGGGCCAATTAAGCGAAGCAAATTTAATTATATTCCGACAGCTGCAAACTGTTATTCATTCCTAGCCACTAGGAAGCGTTTCAGTTGCTCTTTTATATTACAGATTGATGGGCATTGTTATCATTGATTTTATCCCTATTATCTGTGCAGCAAATCCTTAGTCTTGGAACAGATTTGAAGTGCTAACGAACCTAATCAACAGACACACAAACTTCAACTGCAGCGGATTTCCCTGCTGCATTTAGATTTGCTTTACCCCAAGGGAAACCCAACTCGCAACCATTGCTCTAATTGTGCATTCCACCGGGCACTGGGATCTGTTTTCTAATCAATAACAAAACTCCTCGAAGGGATGTTTCCTTGCAAATGAAATCCCATTGCAGCTATTCGCTGACCCATAAAGTAGCTTCGTTTTGGGATTTCTAGGGGGAACTTCTTTCACCTGCTGTTGTTCAGAACTGGTTTCATTTGTTTTTATCATAAGCACGAATATAAGAACAGTTAAATTAATGTGGCATTAACAGCATGACGACAAATGCCGAGTTTATCGTTTTCAAATTTGCATCTTGGCGCCTTTTGGCATTCAATTCTTAACTGCTGCACAAGCGAATCGGGTTTCTCGCGAGATAAATTGCTCATCAAAAATATGGTAATAATTGTGCACAAAATGCTCTATTAAAATCTAGGGCATATTCAATTTATGCTGCATATTGGTGAACTCGTTTCTAGGCATCCAATTAAAGTTTCCACCCTGTTCGGCTTTGGTCTGGTCTTTAACCGGTATCCAAGATCAGAAATATGAATTATATTATACAAAATTCTGCCAATAATTATAATAATTCCCAACAAAAAGGTCAGGGTAGTTTCTTGACACAAGCAGAACAGCTGATGGACTGGCTCTTCAGCTCCTTTTGAAGAACCTAATTTGTCGATGTGTTTGCAGATAGATGACTTAGCAGAAGGCAAGCAGAAATGATTGTCAGTCCTCTGAGCAGCTCCGACTCTTAGCTACTCCTCACAGCCATTTCCAATTGCCTTCTGGATATGTTCTTAATCGCAGAGACTACACAAATCCGGCTCTTCCCTGCCCTCGAAACACGTTTTCCCCTTCAATATTTTGTGGCGGACATCTTTATTGAACGCAATAAAACATCAATTGATTGTGCTACAAAAAAGTGGCGAGAATCGAAAGCGAAACCCGTTGGACGAGTCCAAAAACCGTTATGTTACAACCGAAAGTCAAGGAGAGTCAAGTCATCGCTCGTTACTGTTATCATTTTGCATGTATTTTGAAAGTCAAGAAGAATTCTTAGAACTAATTAGAGAAAGGTGTCCAGAGAACAGTCCATGGGTGCGCTGCGTATTCGGGGTGGTTGGGGGCCTTAATGATGCACGGAGTGGTGCACGGGCTCGGGGGCCTGTGGGTGCGACTCCAGCCATGCGATGGAACGGGCAATGGCCTCTGGGATTGGTGGTGGAGTGGGCAGGACGGCACCCACGGGCTGGTAGCCATTCTCATCGGCGACATACTTGATCTCCACATGCTCGCCCTCGGGCGAGATCCAGCTGAAGCTGCCATGGATGTTGCCATGGACATCACCGCTGGATGCCTGCTGGATGCTGTTGGACACCAGGAGATCAGCATCGAAGCCATCGGCGCGCACATCGCTGTGCTCGGACTTGACCTCGGCATGAACATCCTCGGCGCGTCCCACGGGAGCATGCGGTAGATTGGCAACACCGGCGGCGGCCAAGCCCAAAACTGCGAATACCATTACCTAGAAGGAGAAGATTCAACCATTAGAAGATCACGTCAGTGTCCTGCTGTCCTGCTGTGCTGCTGTCCTTTGTGGCTACTCACAAACTTGAACATTTTTGGATTGTTGATTGCTGTCTTGCCGTGAACGAACGCTGACTGATGTCTGACTCTGGCTGGGCCGAGCCTTTTTATATGGTTCTTAATCCAGTTGCTTCACCTAACAAATTTGCCCCACAACTTGCATCCAATTGTCTCGCTGAGTTATGGGATGACATATCGGATGCGCCCGCACCCACAAAAAGACAACAACAGCTGCAGCAACAAACCAAAAAATCGTCACACGGCTACAGCTGACCAAATGCCAAACATCGTAGCTGTCTATAGTATATAACAATATATCTGTATGTGCACGTATAATCTGTTAATAGATGCTAAAATGAAACAGTCGCATCAATAAAAGTGCAAAAACGAGTCCGACAGCAACCCTAAAAAATCACCAAAAACGAGTTCATCCAGGCCCCCCTGAAGAAACAACAATAACCGCCCACTTTTTGTTAGCAATCTTCTAAATGGACGTGGTGCCACACTCTAGAGCAAATCTTCAGCAAAGCACAGAAGATTCTGCAGCGCAAAGAAAGACATCAAACAGTGCCACCGATCGTTCAAGTTGATTTATTGTCTGGTCTGTGGTGTCTGATCGGTGTTTCCGCCTTTGCAGATATCGATAAGGGAACATGTACACACGTTAATGTTGATTATTTAGACGGGAAATTAGACAGGAATCTTCTCAGACTGTGGACTAAAAAGTTGGAGGAATTTAACAATATTTCTCATATATTTACTCAGCTTTATCTGTTTAAATATATCAAATAAATAGCATCAACCCAAAGAGAACACTATTATAACTATTTTATTCACGGTAAATGTGTTTAAATGATATTTTATAAGATGGAAACATTCAACCACAAATACATTAATACATTCATCAATGTCACGATGAACATGAGGCTGGAGCTCAGCTGAATTGCCATTTCAAATTCGAGCAAGTCACCCTTAAAAAAGTATATATTTTATTGTAAGTCTTTATAGAAAAAAAGATTACAGTTACAGGGTTAAAAATATAAAAATCTATGCATATTTTCTCCAGCCAAAGTAATATATTTACTAAAATTCTTTACAAGAAGAAACCACGCTCTTAGAAACTTTTAACACAGAAACAAAGTATTTCCCACTTATTTATGTCTAACACTCGCTCAAGAAACTCCACAGGAACTCCCACCAATAATCAACTATAAGTCTCTGTGTCAAGTGCATCCGCAACTTCGTTCCAAAACCAAACTAAATGTTTAAATAAAATCGCAAAATTGTTTTTGATTTTTTAGTGCTTTAAGCATATGCATTTATTATTCTGGAAATCGAGTAGCACGGCTATGCAGCTGGGCAGATACGCTTCCATAGGACAGTCCGTTGTGCGATCCATATCGAGCTTAGTGATGGACTCCGTGCTCGGGAGCTTGGGGGTGCGACTCCAGCCAGACAAGAGCACGAGCAATGGCCTCTGGGATTGGTGGTGGAGTGGGCAGGACGGCACCCACGGGCTGGTAGCCATTCTCATCGGCGACATACTTGATCTCCACATGCTCGCCCTCGGGCGAGATCCAGCTGAAGCTGCCATGGGCATTGCCATGGACATCACCGCTGGCGGCCTGCTGGATGCTGTTGTCAACCACGAGATTGGTGTCGAAGCCATCGGCGCGCACGTCCGAGCTGAGGGTCTGCACCTCGGCGTGGACATCGTCGGAACGGGAAACTGGAGCCACGGCGGCTGCCAGGCCCAAAACTGCGAAGATCATCACCTAGTAGGAGCAAATATAGAGTCCGTGAGTTCAAGAGTCCCTCAGTTCTTGAGGCCGTTTGAGCTACTTACAAACTTGAACATTTTTGATGCTTGATAACTGTCTTGCCGTGAACGAACGTTGACTGATAACTAACTCGGCTCGAGCGCAGTCTTTATATATGATTCTTTATCCACTTGTTTCCACTTGTTAAATGAATTACCCGAACAAAAGCTTTAGGCGGACTTTCCAATGTCGGATATCAGCCATAAAGCTAGCAAATGCTGCGTCAATAAATTCGCTCTCCCTCGACAACAGGCGAAACAAATGTCAAAAAACGGGTATTACGCTTCTAAATAGATGCTAAAAATGAGACCAGTGCAGGGAAGTTGGAGTCGAGAAACCTGTGTGCCATCCTCTAGCTAGAAAACTGGGTAAGAGACTTGGAAGATTGCAATTCCAAGCAGAAATGTAGCTACAGAAGAGGGTACGTGGCCATGGCCATAAATAGGGAAAAGTTAATATACAGCAGCCTAAATGGTAGGTCAGCCAGTCACAGCAGACTCTCAAGAGTTCCATAGGTCATTATACTTTTCCCTTAACAAGATTTCCTGGTACAAGAGAGGAACTCCAACCTGAATTTCAACTACGTGCCACCTTTAATTCCTCTTCTAATATTTATGTATGTGCCTCTATTGCCCCCAAGTGTTTTATTATTTAACTGAATTATTTACCAAGTGTCGAATATATCTGAAACACTCTTTATAGCTTGAAAGACTTGGCCGTTCATTTTAACCAGAACAGAACGCAGCTTTCTGCCAGAGTTGTAGCTTCGAATACCCCGAAAAATATGCTACTAAATGTATTACAAAAGAAAGTTTTATTCGCAAATTTGCAACAAAGAAAGAACAGCAAACATGAATGACAAAAATGAAGTTTAATATAATTTTAACAGAATTTTTGGGTTACTTGGTTCAGGCTTAATCTTCGCTTGAACATTCAGAGAGCTAGGCGAAAGCGCTCCTTGATTTTTGAAGTACTTCACGTGGCTGGAGAATGTTTTCAGAAAGTAGCTTCAGATGCTATGAGTATGATTTGCATATGAGTTATAAGTCGACTGACACTTGGGCGGGGGCTGCTGCTTATGCTAAAACGAAATGCTAATTAAAAACGGGTTGCATCAGCTTCCAGTTCCGCAGTCTCATTTTGGCCTATAAAAAGCGATGCTTGCTTCCAGATCAGCATCAGTTCGACAAGTTCTATTGCCTGAAACAAAATCAAAATGTTCAAGATTGTAAGTATCGAATGCCCAGGAGCACCCTTGGATAATCAACAATTCAACCTCCTTGCAGCTGCTTATCTGCGCCCTTGCCGCCCTTGTGGCCGCCAGCGAGAATGCCGAGGTCAAGGAGCTGATCAACGACGTCAATCCCGATGGCTTCAAGACGGTGCTGTCCCTCAGCGACGGCACAGCCTCCCAGGCTGTTGGTGATGTGCACGGAAACATCGATGGCGTCTACGAGTGGGTCTCCCCCGAGGGTGTCCATGTTCGCGTTGCCTACAAGGCCGATGAGAACGGTTACCAGCCCACCAGCGATCTGCTGCCCGTTGGCCCACCAATCCCAGAGGCTATCCTGAAGTCTCTGGCCTGGATCCAGGCTCACCCCAGCAAGGAATAAGCACAGCATCGACCTGGACTTGACTTCGACTCGAAGCAGAAAGTCTGAGCTTGGATTAGCCCGGACTCACTGCACACAACTTAGAATATTAACAGCATACAGAAAATAAAATTCTATTTTCTAAAGAAAACAATTTTAAGCTCAATTTTATTCAACGAAAATTTATGGCAGCAGCATAGAAATAATTTGGATGTGGATCATACTTTGGCTTTTGGCTTGCTGGGACTATAATTTAGCACATTTAATTTGCAGTGCTATAAACTATAGAGATATGTTTATTATTTTTCTATGTGGCAAAGAAGTTTATAAGCAATTGGTGGTAGCCATTAGAGACTGCTTAATGTTTAGAGACCCATCTTTTATCGTTTCATAATTCCGTCAATTCGTGCAGAAAGAAATGGGAAACTTTTTTAAGTCTAAAAAGATTTCTTAGGAATATTCCAGGGAGAAAACCAAACTTAGTTGGCTACCATTTTGTTTTGGCAGCTAAAATGTAACTCTCTCTCGATTGATTAATTATACATTTGTTAAAGGCCCGAAAAAGCGCAACAACTTTTGTATTTTTGAAGCTCTGTTCAGGGTTTGTCATGTCCATTTGCTAGTCCTATATTTAAGCATAAAATGAGCTCCAAAAAATATGCTATAAAGTGCTCGTCTATAAACACTTTTGGGCTACAAGTTGACGATTATATAAAACATAAACCCAATCTGACGCAATAGATTGGGCTGATTGCAATTCCAAACCGGAATATTGACTTTCTTACGAATTAATTACTGTGTGGCTGCAAATCGTTCCGTTATACAAATAGTCTGGATAATTATGCGCTGTATTATAATCAACGAAATAACGAAAATGCCACTGGATCAAGGAATCTGCTGAGAGAATATTTTTATAATCATTTGCATAGGAGAGTTAAAACAAAAAAGTGCAGCAGACAAGTCTACACGTGCGAAGAATATGATAAGCTGAAAAAGATTATGCGAAATCGAAATGTTAATTGAAAACGGGTTGCATCAGCTTCGAGGCTTCACAGATCCACGATTCGTGTGTATAAAAGCGACATTCGCATTTATTTTGGCATCAGTCTCACAAGTTCTCTAGTCAGACAATCAAATACAAAATGTTCAAGATCGTAAGTAGCTAATCGTCTGGATAGTGATCAATGATTTGACTCTAGTCAATGATCAATCTCTTACAGCTGCTTATCTGCTCCCTTGCCGCCCTTGTGGCCGCCATCGAGAATGCCGAGGTCAAGGAGCTGATCAACGACGTCAATCCCGATGGCTTCAAGACGGTGTTGTCCCTCAGCGACGGCACAGCCTCCCAGGCTGTTGGTGATGTGCACGGAAACATCGATGGCGTCTACGAGTGGGTCTCCCCCGAGGGTGTCCATGTTCGCGTTGCCTACAAGGCCGATGAGAACGGTTACCAGCCCACCAGCGATCTGCTGCCCGTTGGCCCACCAATCCCAGAGGCTATCCTGAAGTCCCTGGCCTGGATCCAGGCTCACCCCAGCAAGGAATAAGCACAGCATCGACCTGGACTTGACTTCGACTCGAAGCAGAAAGTCTGAGCTTGGATTAGCCCGGACTCACTGCACACAACTTAGAATATGAACAGCATACAGAAAATAAAATTCTATTTTCTAAAGAAAACAATTTTAAGCTCAATTTTATTCAACGAAAATTTATGGCAGCAGCATAGAAATAATTTGGATGTGGATCATACTTTGGCTTCTGGCTTGCTGGGACTATAATTTAGCACATTTAATTTGCAGTGCTATAAACTATTGAGCTATGTTTATTATATTTCTATGTGGCAAAGAAGTTTATAAGCAATTGGTGGTAGCCATTAGAGACTGCTTAATGTTTAGAGACCCATCTTTTATCGTTTCATAATTCCGCCAATTCGTGCAGAAAGAAATGGGAAACTATTTTAAGACTAAAAAGATTCCTTAGGAATATTCCAGGGAGAAAACCAAACTTAGTTAGCTACCATTTTGTTTTGGCAGCTAAAATGTAACTCTCTCTCTCGATTGATTAATTATACATTTGTTAAAGGCACGAAAAAGCGCAACAACTTTTGTATATTTGAAGCTCTGTTTAGGGTTTGTCATGTTCATTTGCTAGTCCTATATTTAAGCATAAAATGAGCTCCAAAAAATATGCTATAAAGTGCTCGTCTATAAACACTTTTGGGCTACAAGTTGACGATTATATAAAACATAAACCCAATCTGACGCAATAGATTGGGCTGATTGCAATTCCAAACCGGAATATTGACTTTCTTACGAATTAATTACTGTGTGGCTGCAAATCGTTCCGTTATACAAATAGTCTGGATAATTATGCGCTGTATTATAATCAACGAAATAACGAAAATGCCACTGGATCAAGGAATCTGCTGAGAGAATTTTTTTTTTATAATCATTTGCATAGGAGAGTTAAAACAAAAAAGTGCAGCAGACAAGTCTACACGTGCGAAGAATATGATAAGCTGAAAAAGATTATGCGAAATCGAAATGTTAATTGAAAACGGGTTGCATCAGCTTCGAGGCTTCACAGATCCACGATTCGTGTGTATAAAAGCGACATTCGCATTTATTTTGGCATCAGTCTCACAAGTTCTCTAGTCAGACAATCAAATACAAAATGTTCAAGATCGTAAGTAGCTAATCGTCTGGGTCGTGATCAATGATTTGACTCTAGTCAATGATCAATCTCTTACAGCTGCTTATCTGCTCCCTTGCCGCCCTTGTGGCCGCCATCGAGAATGCCGAGGTCAAGGAGCTGATCAACGACGTCAATCCCGATGGCTTCAAGACGGTGCTGTCCCTCAGCGACGGCACAGCCTCCCAGGCTGTTGGTGATGTGCACGGAAACATCGATGGTGTCTACGAGTGGGTCTCCCCCGAGGGTGTCCATGTTCGCGTTGCCTACAAGGCCGATGAGAACGGTTACCAGCCCACCAGCGATCTGCTGCCCGTTGGCCCACCAATCCCAGAGGCTATCCTGAAGTCTCTGGCCTGGATCCAGGCTCACCCCAGCAAGGAATAAGCGTATCATCCTCTAGGACTGCACAACGGACTCGAAACAGCAAGTTTGGACCCGGATTATCCTCACTTGCTGCATTATAGTTAGGATCTGAACAGCATGCTGTACGAATAAATACAATTAACGAAACTGAAACAAAAGTGTTCTAAGGGGTTAGCTGAAGGTTCCCTGCTGCTCGTCATTCATCAGTGGTTTCGGGGAATGGCATGTAGAATAATTCTATAGCCAAGGCCATGTTATAAACTGGTAAGCTACCTTTGTGATTACCAAATACATTTGTTTGTATACTTTGTGACTTATGCAATGAAATGAAAGCGAAACTAGCGAGTCCCCAAATGAATATTCATTAGCAGCGACTACTTAATGAAGTGCTAAACAAAATGAAACATTTGCCAAGTCCACGCTGATGGTTTTGTGTGCTAAACAAAGCTGCAGAATGTCTGGGACATATGTACATATATATTTTTAGATATATAATTTAACTTCTTAGACTAAAACACGTTCGGGTTAAGTTACGCCACGGCTGACCGTTTGCCCAGCCGGATTAGTATGCCATTCTCGGACTTCAGAGTCACGCGAATATTCAGCACTGGATCGTACTCGCTTTGGGGCACGCACTCCACCTGGGAATGATCATTGATGCCGGACGACAAGCCATCGATGGCGGGCAGAATCTCAAAGTTGCGCACCAGCTGGGACAGCAGCGACTTCAGCTGGTACATGGCAAACTTTTCAGCTGCAAAACGGTTGGGAAACGGATCAATTTAGTCGATGTGTTAGGTTAGCTATCATTCCTACCTATGCAACGCCTGGGCCCCGCACTAAAGGGAACACTTTTGTACGCTTCAATGCCAACATCTGCGCCTGCGCACTCGAATCTCTCGGGACGGAAGACGCACGGCTCCTCGAAGTACTTCTCATTGTAGCCCATGGCAATTAGACACATAATGACGGTGGTGCGTTTGGCTATCTTGGTGCCATCTGCAAGAAACAAAATGAGTCTCCCGACGACCCAGATGTCCCATGTCCAGCTACTCACTAATGTCGATGGGCTTGCGGTTGGTTCGCGCTATCAGCGGCACAGACGGATACAAACGCAGCGTCTCGCGTATGACCAGCTCAAGGTAGCGCATCTGATCCAGCTTAGCTATGTTCGCCTCTGTGGACAGATCCTGGCCAAAGATGCGCTGCTGCTCCTCGAAAACTCGCTGCTGAATCTCCGGATGCCGCGAGAGTGTGTACAGCGTGAAGGAAATGGCAGCAGCAACCGGATCGTGGCCCTATATATCAATGGGAAAAACCCCCATTTAATGCAGCGGAACATCACTTGGAATGGAAACACTTACTGCAAATATAAATGTGGAAATTTCCTCTATAATTTCACGTTCCTTGAGGGCACGTCCATCCAGCTTGGCAGCCAAGAGGACATCGAGGAATGGCTTATTGATTTGTTTGCCACCTTGCCCACTTGGCTTCTCCTCCGCCAGTTGCTGGCGTCGCTGCGTAATAGTCTACAGAGAGAGAAAAAAAGAGGAAAAATGAAAGCACCGTCAGCCAATTCGTGCTGCTGGAGGTACTTACTCGAAAGATTTCCCTGCGAAGCAGTGACAGAGCTCTGCGCTGCTTCATGTAGTAGGACGTGAGGCGGAAAAGTGCATCGAAACGCTTCACGATGCTGAAGGTGCGCTCCTGGACGACATCGCAGAGGCTGCAGGGATGGGGTAAAGATGGTAAAAGCCACTCGACTCATGACCTTGCACAGATTAAACTTACTCCTTGATGGCCCCATGCAAATCCGATGGCTCGCCGCTGAGTGAGTTGCTGGCCAGCCCAGTGGCGTTCTCTGCAGCAAAAAGAGCAAAGAAATGATATAGAGAACTGGCAGAACTTCAGTCTTAAGTATCGTCAAGTGGAGGCTAAACGAACCGGCCAGATGAAACTGCAAAATGCTCAATAAATTACTCCCACTTAGTGAACTCCCACTCCCACTTTCAACCAAAAAAATAAACCATCTCAACCGTAGAATATCAGAAAGGGGAAAGTAGCTTCGTAAACTTTTTCCTACAATCTGCGGCACTTGTAGCCATTTTCTATGTAATAAATCTTATCTGTAAAACGTACATAATAAATAACAAAATATAAAAAGAAACAACACAGTAACGCAGGAGAGTCACAAGACTCTACTTCTCCGGAAAACTTCGACATGAGAAATGTGAAAAGTTTTTGGTGTGTCGAATGCTATCCTTCACTTACCACACACAATATCCAGCGTACATTTGGCCACCAGCTCCTGGGCATCGAACATCTCCTGTGTCTGCGTCAGTTCATTGAGTTTGTGAACAAATTTTACGCCTGTGCGATGAACCACACGCAGATAGCCCTCAATGGACGAGCGCTCAAATGCCGGCACGTAGAGCTTTTGATGCTTCAGCCAGCGGGCACCGGAGCTGGTGAGCAGACCATCGCCCAGCCAGGGTCGCAAAAAGGAGTACAAGTGCTCCTTGTACAGCAGCGATGAGCTCGACAAAATGTTCTACCAAATGCATACACGTGAGTTGGTTGGAGGAGTTGGTCCAAGAGTGGGGTTTACGGTACTCACCTGAATTTCCGCTGGATCACTAAGCATCATGTGATACTGCAGGAAGACGAGTGAACGATATCCCTGGAAATCATATTTCCGACAATACTGCAATAGCTTTTTCGGGTACTCTGTGGGGAAATAAAAAGTAACAAGTAAGCCACTCCACACTTTAATTTTGCCATCCCAAATCTGTTGTGGAAACTGCACTCGAGATGGTGGCCAGGAGTCGTGCACGGCAGGCAGGCAGCCTGTCACTTGACTTTCGTAAAACTTGCAGTTGCCTGGTAGCTGGAGTTTTCATTTACATCTAATTTAGGACCATGTAAGAGCCTGGAAGTTTTTGGGCCACTTTTGCGGCTGAGCCTCAACATGTGATTTGTTAGAAGCTCAAAGTTGCCATAAAGTGGTTGGCAGAGAAAAATGATTGAGGGGTATAGCCCCGAGCGGCTTAACTTGCATTTCTCTTTGCTTCACGGCTCATGCATTTGAGCAGCCGAATCCAATTGAAGAGCATTCTAAGCTGGCTAGAGAGAGAGAGAGAGAGAGAGAGAGAGGACCCATTCAATGGACAACAACAGGCTTCCAGGCTCTGCCTGGTAGTAAGTAACCATCGAAGCATGCAAAACTATCAGTTGTTGTGCAGCATCCGCCTATCTACTCCCATTCTCTGTGCTAGTCCCAGGCCATTGTGCATTTGGCATGATTACTTTAGGCACGCTCAGAGGCAGAGCCAAAACAAGAACGAATTATTTGGCTGTGCCGTGGAAAAGCACTTGGGAATTGTGTCGAGAACTTGATGAGAATGAATATACATCTATAGAGAGAGCAAAATCAAAAACACAATTCGTTGTGCCAGAAACGAAGAAGTAAATCCTATTCCCAAAACAATTCGAATGCATTTCGGATAAATAAAATGTGCAATTCCCAGCACAGCAAACGTGCAATTCGATCCAACCAAAGCTACATACACACGAGTGGAGATGTATTATCGAACGAAACTTAAAGAGTGCATAAATATAGGCAGGGAATAGATTGGAATGATTAATATGACGACTACTCACCCGCTGGCTTCAGACCAAACTGAAAGATATTGCCCACAAATGGGTAGGGCGTTGGTCCCGGTATCATTTCCATAATGCCAGCCATGTGGTCTATGTAGTTGAATATCTTCACACCCTTGAACACCAAAATGGTGGCCAAAATTATGGCAATTGCTATCAGAAACATGATGTCCCGTTCAACTGTTCGCCGCTACAATTCTTTTCCAACTGTTTGCTCAACCTGCAAAACTGATTATACATAGTTGGTGGAAGTGGGTGACAAATGCTTCCCACCGATAACCCCATCGATAGCTTATCTTAACCGAACTTTCTTCGTCGGCCTACTAAAGTGTTGTTTGGGGGTGTGTTTGTGTGCTGTTTTCTGGTAGTCAACTATTATTAGCTGTTCGGCAAGTGCTTCAAATAACACTATCAATTAGCCAATCAACTTGGTAGTTCTTTATGACATGCTCCTGTCGGTAAATTATAATGCTAATTGCACTGCCCTACCCAAGGTGCAGAACTTGACTCACTTTGCTGTGTGGCTCCAAAGTCTAAAACGGTTTCTGACGCTGGCGGTGAGACGCGGCACTTATTTATTTACGAATATTTATGTATTTGTTTGCGAAACAGAATCGAAATGGAATTAGCGACTAATGGAAATGGAGAAAGCAACTTGAGCAGCACAATTTGAGCGATATGTTTGCGATATGCGATGTTTCTCTTGATTATGCTAAACTAGCTTGAATGATTTCTTAGTATTTTTTCGTTTTCCATTGTAAGTTTTCTACAGCAAATATTTGTTCGATTAACTAATATATTTTCTATAATATTAACACATTTTTGATGCCATTATGTGAATTTAGTAGGCTCACGGCAGAGACATCTCAATAGTCCCATCTCTAGTGCCCACACTCAAGACGCTCTCTGAGAGGATCGCTTGATTGCCTCTCTCATTTTCGATGAGTTTCGATTGCGCTTCGCGAGCAGCGCAATTAAAAGAACGTTGCAAAAGGAAACCATAAACCAAATCACAAGAAGTTCAAATCAAACACACAACTTGAAGCTCCGTTAAAGCGCATACTTTTAGGCATAACGGTATGTAAAAACAACTGTATAATACAACATGGATGTGTGTAATAACACTCTTGCATTGATGTCTGATTTCTGGTTCTCTGTCATTGGGAAAGAGAGCAAATTTGAGACTTGGTCCACCAACTCTCTTTAGCTCCAAGTGATGTGTGCATCTGAATTTATGTGTGTATGTTTGTATGTTCCTGTCATTTGTTTACCGTTTTCGTGTCTTTATTCTTCTCTTTCTTAATTGCTTTGAGAAAAAATCGAAGTTGTATGGGAAAATGGAATAATGTTGGAGATTATTGTGCGTTAATACAAATCAACAAAATATTTATAGAATCTGTAAAGTGCTATTCACAATGACCACGCACGCCCACCCCGCCAAATTCAGCACCGTTATTAGCTAATATGGATCACAATAGTCCAAAACTGGAATTGGTAAACGCCGAGTCACGCTGAACGCATCAAAATACGTGCACACACATCTATACATATGTATGTGCATACGCATATGCATATGTATGCAGTGTAGTTACTCAAAAGATTTTGGCAGCTGGCCAGCGATAGTGGGAAAGACAAAGAGAGAGTGTGTAAGAGAGAGGACAAGCGAGAGCTTACTGGAGTGAGAAATCAGACTCGAATCATTTGTATATAAGGCCAGCGACGATCACATTACGTTCCCATTTTTGTAGCTCCGTGCGTACGAAAAGGTTCAGACAGTGTTTGATCGAAAATGTGGATCGTGTTGTACGTGCTGCTGGCGCTGCCAGTGCTTTTAGTGGTCTATCTGGAGCTGACCACGTTTCGGCGAAGGAGAGCTCTGAATAAATTCAGGGGGCCTAGCCGGCTGCCCATTGTGGGAAATGCCCATCAGGCTGGCAAGAGTCCCACAGGTAGGTGCAGTTGCAGTTCCCGTTCCAGTTGCATCGAGGGATCTCTTCTCGGACCAGGACAACCCATCTCGAATAGCGTTGTGACTGATGGACTGCATTTGACTCAGAGACAATGTTATTCCAGTTGGGTTGTTTTGCGGTCAAACAACAGCAATAAAGAAACAGTAATTTTGCAGCGCAACTGATAAAATCAAGGCAGCATATACTTATACACATATAGTTTTTCGTTACATGAGCAGCACACAATCTGCTATAAAGATAGCAGGGGTAAACTTTGCTGGAAAAATTAAAACTTCATGTCATACAGGCAGCAATATTAACTGTGATTATATAGACAGAATATTGCGTGTCAATATGCGAAATGCGAAATGATGATTAACTCATGCAAACTATGAAAACCTTTGGAATTCGAATGTGCAATCTAAATGTGTTGCCTGTTTGCATGCATCGTCTAATAATGAGTTTGTTCTGTTTACTTTGTAGTGATTCTCGACCAGGTATTCTCGTGGTGGCATCAGTATGGCAACGATAACTTCTGCTTCTGGATTGGCTCCTACTCCAATGTGATCGTCACCAACAGAAAGTACTTGGAGGTAAGCTGCACAAACAACTCCCGATCGAACTACATCTAACAATAACTGTTCTGTTCCAGTTTATACTCAGCAGTCAGACGCTGATTTCCAAGTCCGATATCTATGACCTCACACATCCATGGCTGGGCCTGGGCCTGCTCACCAGCACGGGCAGCAAGTGGCACAAGCATCGGAAGATGATCACGCCAGCCTTCCACTTCAACATACTGCAGGACTTTCACGAAGTGATGAACGACAACTCCACAAAGTTTATTAAGCACCTGAAAACTGTGGCAGCTGGAGACAGCATTTTCGACTTTCAGGACCAGGCCCATTACTTTACTCTCGATGTGATTTGCGACACGGCCATGGGAGTGTCCGTAAATGCAATGGAAAATCGAAGCTCCTCAATTGTTCAAGCATTCAAGGAGTGAGTACTGACCACCGACTGACATCTCGTCTCTCCACACAGCTGCTCTTTTCTCTCTTCTTAGCATTTGCTACATGATCAACATGAGAGCCTTCAATCCGTTCAAGCGCAACGACCTACTCTTTCGCTTGGCTCCCGAGTACCCTGCCTATTGCAAGACACTGAAGACCCTGCAGGACTTTACCAACGACATAATCGGGAAGCGCATCAAGGCCCACAAAGATGGTACAGTCTCGGCCAGTCAGGGTGATGAGTTCTCGCGCAAGAAAATGGCCTTCCTCGATACTCTGCTCTCTTCCACGATCGATGGTCGTCCGCTTACGACTGAGGAGCTGTACGAAGAGGTCTCCACATTCATGTTCGAGGGACACGACACGACCACTTCGGGTGTGGCCTTTGCCGTTTATTTGCTCTCCAGACACCAAGACGAGCAGTTAAAACTATTCGAGGAACAGCGCCAGGTGATGGGTGACTCCGGACTGAGTCGCGACGCAACCTTCCAGGAAATCTCCCAAATGAAATACTTGGATCTGTTCATCAAGGAGGCCCAGCGCGTGTATCCTAGTGTGCCATTCATCGGTCGCTTCACTGAGAAGGATTACGTTATTGGTAGTTTATTGGCAGTTTCTAAATTAACCTTTTGCTAACTATTTGCTTCGATTTTGTAGAAGGCGACCTTGTGCCGAAGGGCACGACCCTGAACTTGGCAATCATTTTGCTTGGCTACAACGAGCGTGTGTTCAAGGATCCGCACAAATTCCGGCCCGAGCGCTTTGAGGAGCAGAAACCAGGACCGTTCGAGTATGTGCCCTTCAGTGCAGGTCCCCGCAACTGCATTGGCCAGAAGTTCGCTCTGCTGGAGATCAAGACGGTGGTGTCCAAAATTATTCGCCACTTCCAAGTGCTGCCTGCCCTGGACGAGCTAGAGTCCAAGGATGGGTACATTAGTAGTACCCTGGGATATCGTCCGGAAGAAAGGAAGAAGCGCGACCCGCTGCGCCACAAATATGATCCCATTCTGTCTGCTGTGCTGACCCTTAAAGCCGAGAATGGTCTGTTTATCCGTCTCAAGGAAAGGCACTAGACTTTTAGGCTTATACCAATAATAATTATTGTTGTTTTTAATATTTTGTTTTACTTATTATATGAAATGCATGTGCTTCAGTACAGTTAAGGTCGAGAGTGGATTAGAAAGAGATTGCATAAGCTTTGGCTTGATATCTGCAGATAAGCAATTCGAAAAGCTTGGAAGCTTCACCTACATTATAAATACCCCCAGCAGATAAAAACACAACATGACCTAGGATATTGTACACTTATCAAAAGCTCAGTTGCTTATCAAACCTCTTTGAGTTTTTAAATGTTTTGTTAACTAATTTAGCAGGAAGGAAAAACTTTATATAGTCATGAGCTGTTGCTTAAAATGTAATTTATACTTTTATCATGCATTGTTAACTTTCTATTATTTGTATACACAAAATGCAACAACTACCTTATCGGGCCTGAACAGATTATAACTCAAATCACTTGTCAAAATTCGCCCACTTCAGTACTTAACCCAAGTGCTGGCCATATTCTGCACTCATAATCGCAGAGTTTTGTGGGCCGTGCGGATCTTAAATGTGGTTCGCTTTCTATGTGATCTTGGCGCTGCCGCTCCTTTGGCTCGCACATTTGGAGCTAAAGTCGCTGAGGAGGAGGAGAATACTTAACCAGTTCAAGGGACCCAAAGTACTGCCAATTGTGGGCAATGCACATCAGCTGGGCAAGACACCGCCAGGTAACACAAAGACTTTGATCTGATTAAGTATTTGAGCACCTGTGAAGACTTCTTATCAGGCGCTATTTCTGTGCCGCGATTAGGAATAAGTTTCTTTGTTCTCTCCACTTTGTAGAGATTATTGAGCAAATGTTTGATTGGTGGCATCAACATGGCAGGGGCAACTTTCGCTACTGGATTGGATACTATCCCAATTTAATGGTCACCAGTAACAAGTACTTTGAGGTAAGCAAAGCATTCATTTTGTAGCATATAATAATTGGATTCTCCACAGTTCATTCTCAGCAGTCAGACACTAATAACAAAGGCAGAAGTCTATAAGCTCACCCATCCCTGGCTGGGTTTGGGTCTGCTCACCAGCACGGGCAGCAAGTGGTTCAAGCATCGGAAGATGATCACGCCCTCCTTCCACTTTAATGTTCTGCAGGACTTTCACGAAGTGATGAACGAGAAGTCCACACAGTTCATCAGCCACCTGAAGCAAGTGGCGGCTGGAGACAGCATTTTCGATTTTCAGGAGCAGGCCCATTACCTGACCCTTGACATAATATGCGACACAGCAATGGGAGTAACGATAAATGCAATGGAAAACCGAGACTCTGAATTAGTACATGCCTTCAAGGAGTAAGTACTGCGACTGTTTGTTTATATTTTATCTGTATTTTATTTGTATTTATATTATATTTAATAGCATGTGTTACAACATCAAAGTAAGAACATTTAGTTCGTGGAAACGCAACGAGACGCTCTATCGATTTGCCTCCGACTATCCCGCCTACTTGAAGACGGTGAAGATGCTGCAAGACTTTACCCACGATGTCATCGAGCAGCGCTTGAAGGCGCACAAAGAGGGCACCGCTGCAACAAGTCAGAGCGATGAGTTTTCGCGGAAGAAGCTGGTTTTCCTGGACACCCTACTTGCAGCAACAGTTGACGGTCGCCCGCTCACGTCGCAGGAACTGTACGAGGAAGTCTCCACATTTATATTCGCAGGCCACGACACGACCACCTCGGCAATTTCATTTGCCGTCTATCTGCTCTCCAGACACCAAGACGAGCAGCGAAAATTGTACGAGGAACAGCGCGAGGTGATGGGTGACTCCGGACTGAGTCGGGAAGCAACCTTCCAGGAAATCTCCCAAATGAAATACTTGGATCTGTTCATCAAGGAGGCGCAGCGTATTTATCCAAGTGTTCCATTCGTTGGTCGTTACACCGAGAAGGACTATGTGATTGGTAAATTGATACGTTTGTGACAAAACAAGGCTAGATAACCGCGTTAATCTTTCCTGTAGATGGTGACCTCGTGCCTAAGGGTACCACTCTACATATGGGACTAATGATGCTCGGCTACGATGATCGTGTATTCAAGGAACCCCATAAATTCCGCCCCGAGCGCTTTGAGGAGCAGAAACCTGGACCCTTCGAGTATGTGCCCTTCAGTGCCGGTCCCCGCAATTGCATTGGCCAGAAGTTCGCTCTGCTGGAGATCAAGACGGTGGTGTCCAAAATTATTCGCCACTTCCAAGTGCTGCCTGCCCTGGACGAGCTAGAGTCCAAAGATGGGTACATAAGTACTACCCTGGGATATCGGCCTGAGGAAAAGAAGAAACGCGACTTGCAGCGCCACAAATACGATCCCATTCTGTTGGCCGCGATGAGCCTGAAGTCAGAGAATGGCATTTATCTTCGCCTTAAAAAAAGGTTTTAGAATATCCACTTGAAATAAGTACTCTTAATTCTGGCATATAAAGAAACATCATTCAATGCTCAGCACACTTTACAGAAGGTACATTATGTACATTTTTTTCTACCATTCCTAGGACCACTTTTAATTTTCTGAAATTATTTATGAACACCCTTCCACATGGCGAATGCATATTTTTGGGCTTGGCGAATGAACCGATCGCAACCAATTTCGAATTGCGAGGGTCAGTGCTGCGGACAAGAGCGATAGCATTGTAGTATGAGTAATAAATGAAGAGCACTTATAGACATTATTATTTGCAATAATATGTACATATGAATATGAGTTTGTAATCATTTATGTCGACTCAAGTTCGTATATTTATGTACAGTCCAGACTGGGCAAAATTAAAGGAAGGGCTACACATTGGCGTTGCCATTTGTTAACTTTCCTTTAAGCAATAACTACAAAGGTAGTATTTTTGAAGCGGTAATGCTCTCCAAGCACATTCAAACAAAGAAAAGCAATGCTAGCTAGGCAAATTCAAATCTAAACAATGGAAAGACTGCCGCCGAAAGTCGCTAACCTAAATACCCTGCTAAAGCAGAAATGATATTCTGCGAGAAGCGACGAAAACTAGCAAAGAAACTGATTATAAATTCTACAGCAAGGGCATCCACAGAATAGCAACGCAACTTAACAATGACGGTGCTCGTCCGACAAACCGTATCATCATTACAAACAAAAATTCGACAAAGAGGCTAGTCACGATGAACGAACGCTGTCTTGTCGAACGTTGTTGCCAGACAGAGATACATATAGAGAGCGAGACAGCTGAGAATTGTGCTGGATGGGCTGCTATTTAAACCTGAAGCCTACCAAAAGCTTATAACAAATTCGTAGTGTACCCGGTGTTGAACGGAAGGTAAACTGCGTTGGAATCCAAAATGTGGGTGTTGCTGTATGCCTTCTTGTCCCTGCCGCTGCTGCTGTGGCTCTACCAGGAGTTGAGCACCTTCAGACGGAGGCAAGTGCTGAAAAGATTCGCTGGGCCGAAACGATTGCCCTTAGTGGGAAATGCTCATCAGATGGGCAAAAATCCAACAGGTAAACAGGTTTATAAATATTTTAAAACATTTAATTAACTTATACGCTCCGTAGAAATACTCGATCAGATATTTTCGTGGTGGCTCCAGTATGATAGGGAAAATTACTGCTTCTGGATAGGATCTAATCCGAACATAATGGTCACAAAGCCCAAGTTCCTTGAGGTGAGCATCCAAAATTGTAATGAAACAAGCCAAGGAAATCCATCTAATCGATCTTATTTATCCCCACAGTATATACTCAGCAGTAGGACGCTAATAAAAAAAACAATAAGCTATGAGCTAAGCGAGCCATGGGTGGGCTTGGGCCTGATTACGAGCACGGGCAGCAAGTGGTTCAAGCATCGAAAGATGATTACGCCCTCCTTCCACTTCAATATACTGCAGGACTTTCACAAGGTGATGGACGAATATTCCAGCAAGTTCGTGGGACTGCTGAAGGGAGTGTCTGCTGGAGATAGCATATTGGATATCCAAGATCATGTGGCCTACTTGACCCTAGATGTAATTTGCAGCACATCCATGGGAGTGTCGATAAACGCAATGGAGAACCGAACATCGCAAATTGCGCAGGCATTCAGGGAGTAAGTATTCAACGACTTTACATGGAAGCTCTCTTTTCTGACCATTGGATCTCTGCCCGTCCAGCATTTGCGAAAACGTCAGCATGAGATCCTTCCATGTGTGGAAGAGCAATCAAACGCTCTATCGATTGGCCTCCGACTATCCCGCTTACTGCAAGACGCTGAAGACTCTGCATGATTTTACCCACGACGTCATCGAGAAGCGCGTCAATGCCCACAAAGAGGGAACCGCTTCAAAGCGCCAGATTGATGAGTTCTCGGGCAAGAGTATGGCTTTCCTGGATACCTTACTCTCAGCAACAGTTGACGGTCGCCCTCTCACGACCCAAGAGCTGTACGAGGAAGTTTCCACATTTATATTCGCTGGCCACGACACGACCACCTCGGGCATATCTTTTGCCGTCTATTTGCTCTCCCGACACCAAGACGAGCAGCGAAAATTGTACGAGGAACAGCGCGAGGTGATGGGTGATAATGGGATGGGTCGCGATGCCACATTCCAGGAAATCTCTCAAATGAAGTACTTGGATCTGTTCATCAAGGAGGCACAGCGTGTGTATCCCAGTGTGCCAGTCATCGGCCGCTACACCGAGACCGATCATGTCATTGGTAAGTGCTGAAACCACAGGAATCCCACAGGAAAACCACTTGTTAACTGGTCTATTCTCTCTTGCAGATGGTATACTTGTGCCAAAGGGCACAACCCTCAATTTGGGACTAATGATGCTCGGCTACAACGATCGCGTGTTCAAGGATCCGCACAAGTTCCGGCCCGAGCGCTTTGAGGAGGAGAAACCTGGTCCCTTCGAGTATGTGCCCTTTAGTGCCGGTCCCCGAAACTGCATTGGGCAGAAATTCGCTCTGCTGGAGATCAAGACGGTTCTGTCCAAAATTGTTAGGAACTTTGTGGTGCTACCCCCAGAGGATGGACTGGAGTCCAGGGATGGCTATCTAAGCACTACCTTGGGCCTGCCCACAGCAGAGAGAATCAAGAAGGAAGCCTATCGCCAAAAATACGATCCAATACTTGCCACCGCGTTAATCCTCAAGTCCACAAATGGTCTTAACATTCGCTTGAGAGAGAGGAACTAGATCATAAGTTGTTGAATAAATATTAGAAAGCAATTCCTGGAAACTCTTTGCATACTTCTGGGCCTTGGAAATAATAATTGATCGACAATTTAGATAGAAGGAAATTGTGTTTATTGATAAAAACACTCGACACTAACGCGATGGCAAATGCAAAATTTATTTGACGGCCACGAGTACTGTGCCCACATAGGGATTGGCCACAAATGCTGCGGGATTGATGACATCTCCGTCGATGTGCTGTGAGTTCAGGGAGGTGGTGATAATCTCCGCCTGGCTGCCCAATTGGTAGTGCTTGGTTATGTCAATGGTCTTGGCAGTTCCACCAAGATTGAGGACAATCACATAGAGATCGCTGTCGCTCTTTTGGCTGTAATCAAAGTGGCATTTGTGATGGATGGGTGTCAGGAAAATGTTGCTTAACTTACCGCGAATAGATGATGATATCATCATCGAGGGCCTGAATGTTCAGATCTCCATGGCGGAAGGACGGCTCCTTGCGGACGCGCACCAATTTCTTGAAGATCTGCAAATGGGAACGGGGAGCACGCAGCTGTTGAAGGGCGTTCTTGGTCTTGTAGTCATCGGACACGGGCAGCCAGGTGTGATCGGCGCTGGTGAAGCCTGCCAAAAGGTCACAAGAACAATTATAAAACAAGGGAAAGAGTACAGAGGAGATCTACGACTGATCCTCCACCCACCTGCTTTGGAAGAGGCATCCCATTGGTAGGGTGTGCGCGCTGGATCGCGTGATCGATCGTAGTAGTGCTCGGGATCGGAGTTGCAGGCGGGGGGATCGACAGTATCCTCCCAGCTGATCCACACATCGGTCATGCCAAGCTCCTCGCCGTTGTAGGTCACGGCATGTCCTGGCAGCGTCTGAAGCAAAATGTTCATCAGATCCGTACGCTGCACACCAAAGCGAGAGGCGACGCGCTTGTTGTCGTGATTGCCGAGCACCCAGTTGGCGTAGACACCCTCGGGCATGGCATCCATCCACTTCTGGATGTGCGTCACATAAGTGCCGGCCGTCGAGGCGTTGTTCACGCTCGAGAGGAAGTCAAAGTTGAAGGGAATGTGGGAGCCATTGCGCTCGCCATCGCCGTAGTACTGGATCATGGTCTCGAAGCTGGTGTATGCCTCGGTCAGGAGCAGTCGCTTATCGCCACCGTGCTCGACCTGGAACGTGTCCACCAACTCGCGCCACTGGTAGATCATGTCGAGGGTCTCTGGCAGATTCTGCGTGTAGATGTGCTGCGTGTAGCAGTGATCGTCGGGGTCCGGGCAGGCCACACTGTCGTTGGTTAGCGGCTCATCGGGGTACTGGTTGTAGCGGTCCAGATCCACCTCAAACAGGTAGGGCACCGCATCGATGCGAAATCCGGAGACGCCCTTGGCCAGCCAAAAGCGAATGATGTTCTTCATCTCCTCGACCACGACGGGATTGCGGTAGTTCAGATCGGGCTGCTGCACAGCGAACTGATGGAGATAATACTGCTGACGCACATCGTTCCACTCCCAGGCGCTGTAGCGGAACTCGGAGCCCCAGTTGCTGGGCGGCTCACGCTCGCCGGTCTCCTCGTTGATCTTGCCATCGTGCCAGATGTAGTAGTCCTTGTAGTGGGGATCGCTGTCCACCGATTTCTTGAACCACTCATTCTCATCGCTCGAGTGGTTGGGCACAAAGTCCAGAATGATCTTGATGCCCACCTCCTTTGCCTTGGCAATCAGATTCTCAAAGTCCTCCATGGTGCCATACTCGGGATGGATCTGATAAAAGTCCGAGATATCATAGCCAAAGTCCACCATGGGCGACTTGAAGATGGGCGACAGCCAAGTGCCCGTAAAGCCAATATCCTTGAGGTACTGCAGCTTCTCGGTGACGCCATTCAGATCACCAATGCCATCGCCGTCAGAGTCGCGGAAGGAGCGCGGATAGATCTGATAGTAGTTGCCACTCTCCCACCACTCGGTGGCTCTGGCCAGGCCAACGGCGGCCAGCACCAGGAACACAACCACTGACTGCGTTCGCATTTTGTTCGATTTTGTTCGGACTATGCCAATGCCAGCTGCCTTTTATACCGGACGATAAGGCTGCTCCAAAGCTCCCTATCGAGATCGGGCACGCCTGGAGTGGCCATTTGAATGGCTGAGCAAACACCCGGCTATGGCATGGGTTCTCACACGGTTTGTCATTGTTTTCGCCCTCCAAGGCGGCTAATTTTTACGTAAAAGCGATTGACTAATTCTGATTGCTGGTAATATTCCAAGATATGGGCTACAGGTATCTGCTCGAGTGGCTGTGGCTGACTCTCTCAAGTGGACATTAGTCAGCTGATGGGCAGCGAGCGGCCAAAACATTTGAAACATCCTCATCCGCGGAACACTCATGCATACTTGTCCAGTATGTGGACAAATATTTTCTAATTGGCCTTGACAATGTTCTGGGGGCCATTGAAAATGTGTCAAAACATTTATGTACGTACATATGCAAGTATGTATGTATGTATGTACGTGCATTATTCTTGTTCACACGAGTGCTCCTGCTATAGTGACGTGTTTATCAGCAATGGAACTTTTGAAGTAAAATAATTTATCAATTTGTTGATAAGGAACACAAGGAAATGTTTTTTAATAAACTTAAACGAATGGATTAATCGTTTGACCTCTATAACCCGTGTCTCGTGACTTACAAAATAGCAACAATTCGGTGTGAAATATTTATATATTATATCCGGAATGTAGAGTAATTAAAAAATCTATTAAAGACAAAGTGGAAGCACTGAAAGTTGTATCAGATATTCCACTGCCTCATTTGTACAACAATTAAAACATACATACATACATTAACACATGCATTGTGGGAAAACAGCGGTGCATCAATTACAGTTAATCTGCCCACTAATGAGTCAAATTTTGTGTAAATTGTGGTTGATTTTAATTTTGTAAATTAATCAGATAAAAAGTTAAAGAGTGTATTGAATGAAATAAATCCGAATAATTGCATAGCGAGAATTTAAATTGTTGAAAGTTGTTCCGCGGTAACATGGTGCACGTTAACGGTGATTCTTTACACCAATTCCAGCCAGCATGCAACTAACTATGTATTTTGAAACTTTGTTGCACTGAATGAACGACAAGAATGTGGCAAACAAACTATCTGCTACTTATTGTTTTAGCGTGAGTGATTTTGCACTAATTAAATAACTTTGAATTAATTTACTTGAGAGCTGTTGGATTAACAAGAAGTTGGCAGAGCAAAAGAAACACAAGAATAATTGTAACTCTTGCATTCCACACGAGATTGTTGTTATTGTATGTGTTTGGCTGCGATCAATATTTTGTAATGGGTTAGAGTGGGACAAATATTGTATACAGAAATATGCGTGAGTTCTTGATGTACAGCTGTTTCTCTCCGCTGTTTTCTCTCTCTCTGCTCACGATGTCGTGCTCTCAGCTCTGTTTACTCTGTAACGGGATAAGTCGCATGCAGATTTATAAGTGTTCGTACATACATACATGCATACATAAAATAACTAAATAATGATTCAAGCGTAAAAATGCTTTATAAATAAGTCAGTTTAATGTTTTAAATGGCAAAAAAGATGCCGCAGAATGTGATAGATAATATTTAAAGTGGATGCAGCAACTTATTGACCAACCTTCGGAAGGTTTCTTTTTCTTCGTTAGAAATTCATATGGAACATGAATTTACGACATGCCGCTGGTGGTTCATATCCAGGAATGGGAAAGAAAACCCAACCCACGCAGTTGTTTAATCGTACAAATACATTTGCGATAAAAAAGTTGTTAGATTAGCAATTGGTCTAGGCAATTTCTGGTCTTATCAACGGCAAATGCGACATGCCAGCCAATTGTTATTAGGAAATCGATCGAAATTGATTTGAAGCCACTCAAACGTCAGCGAAATGCCAAAGTGGTCACATCTGTGTCTGGTCGCAGTGCTGCTGGCCACGGTCAGCTGCACGGATATCGATTGGTGGGAGAACGCATCGCTGTACCAGATCTATCCGCGCTCCTTCCAGGACAGCAATGGCGACGGCATCGGTGACCTGCAGGGCATCACGTCGCGGCTGAGCTACCTGAAAGAGATCGGCATAACGGCCACATGGCTGTCGCCCGTTTTCACATCGCCCATGTCGGATTTTGGTTACGACATCTCCAACTTCTTCGACATTGATCCCATCTTTGGAAACCTCGATGACTTTGATGCGCTTATTGTGGAGGCCAAGTTGCTGGGGGTGAAAATCATACTGGACTTTGTGCCCAATCATTCGAGCGATGAGAATGAGTGGTTCGAAAAGTCTTACAACCGCGTGGACGGTTACGATGACTTCTACGTGTGGCACGATGGCAGGGTGAATGCGGAAACCGGCGAACGGGAGCCGCCCAGCAACTGGATCAGCGTGTTTGGCGGTCCACAGTGGACGTGGCACGAAACGCGACAGCAGTACTTCCTGCACCAGTTCCAGGTGAAGCAGCCGGACCTCAACTTCACCAATCCCATGGTGCGCGAGCACATGCTGCAGGTGCTGAAGTTCTGGCTGGATAGGGGTGTCGATGGTTTCCGCATTGATGCGGTGCCGCACATCTACGAGTACCGCAATGCGGATGGCTCCTATTCCGACGAGCCCGTCAGTGGCTGGGGTAGCAATCCGGACGCCTACGACTACCATGATCATATCTACACCAAGGATCAGCCCGCCACTGTTGAGCTGATGTACGAGTGGCGTGCGTTCCTGGACCAGTACCGAGCGGAGAATGGTGGCGACTCCAGGGTTCTGCTGGCCGAGGCCTTCTCCTCGGTGGAGACGCTCAGCGCGTACTTCGGCAATGGCACACACTTGGGCACCCAGCTGCCCATGAACTTCCAGCTGATGTACCTCAGCGGCTACTCCACGGCGCGGGATGTAGTGAACTCCATTGACTACTGGATGAATACCATGTGGAAGGAGCACCAGACAGCCAATTGGGTGGTGGGCAACCACGACACCAATCGCGTGGCGGACCGCATGGGTGCCCACAAGGTGGATCTGTTGAACGTTATCGTAAGTGCACTGCCCGGTGCCTCGATCACCTACTACGGCGAGGAGATTGGCATGTCAAATGTGGATGTGGAGTGCACCGGCGACACCTGCGAAGATCGGGATGGGGAGCGCACACCCATGCAGTGGACAGCCGGCCAGAATGCCGACTTCACCCAGGGACAGAGCACCTGGCTGCCCCTCAATCCCGACTATGTTCGCTTCAACGTCCAGACCGAACGTGGAGTGGCGCGTTCATCGCTCAACATCTTTAAGGGCATGCAGGCGCTGAAGAGCAGCTCCGCTTTCCAAGCCTTCAAGCAGGAAGGCGGCTTCTCCTATGAGGCAATCACGGAGCAAGTCTTGCAGATCATACGGTAAGGGAAACTGAATAACAATCCAAGTTATAAGATCATTACAGTCATTTCCTTTGCAGCACAAACAAGTACAGTGAGGAATATCGCATACTGGTGAACATGGGCAACGGCATGGAAATAATCGAAGGACTGGCCGACAAGGTCTTTGAGTATGTCCTCACCACTGCCTACTCCCCGCACCAGCAAGGGTAAGTTCTTCACTGATCATTTATCCTGCTCATAATGATCTAATTTCTGTTCTCCCTTAGCCAAACTGTTGATCTGAGGGAACGCATTCTGCTTATGCCCTACGAAGCTGTCGTTCTACGCTGGGTCGCCTGAACCAGCCGCACCAGTACTAGCAATAAATTATAATCTATTTTAAAGAAACGTTTGCTATTTATTTGTCCATAATCAGGCTGTGCTTGGAGTCCCTTGGGGTCCCCCCATAAAGATAAAACAAGTTCGAAATCAATCAGCCCGTGGGCACATGGCTCTATAAATCGATCAACACATCAACAACATGGCACGCTGAGGGCCAATTACCCAAGTGAATTGCAAACTAAAAGCCACTTGAGATCCCCAGATATGACTTAAGTAGTGTAAACTTTTGCAATCGATAGACTCTGTAAATGCCAATTCTGCGATCTTGTGAATACTTCCCGGGTGCCGAAGCCAAAGTACTTTCATTTGGCTATCGTTCGTGAGTTATGGTAATCTGCCAATCCATTATCTTGACTAATTGCCTCATAAATTAAATGAGCGTCTAATCGCTGATTATATTAACGTGCGTGGGGCGTTCATAAAGATAAGCGTTCATAAAGCGGTACAACTATAAATTATATTCTTAATGATTTTTCTTTATTTGTTGTGTGTTTTTTTAGGTGTATTTAAACTGTGCTCAGCACGACAGCTTCCTTGGGCATAAGCAGCACAGAGTTGGAGAAAGTGAGATCGCTGTGAAATATGGAAATGGTTTTAGTACATATTCTAAGGATTATAATATTGCTACTTACTTCTTGCGACGAACGCTCTTGTCGTTGACCACAACATACTGCAGTTGCGAGGAGATTGAGGTGAAGACCGAGTCCAGATTGATCGATTCAACATCATCGTTGATGTTGATGACAGTGATGTAGGACTTCTGGCCAGCCAGAGAGCTGTTAAGAGAAAGATCCATATTTGTTATTAGTAAAATAATAAAGCCCAGTGGTCTCTCCAGCCCCACTTACCGCTTGAAGGCCAACACATTGGGACCAATGGCGTTGACGGTGACATCTCCCTGCCTCAGAGTGGGCTCATCACGCAGCGCACGCAGCTGCTTGTATATGTTCAGATGACTTAGGGCAATGCCGCGCTCACGCTTGACATTGACCAGCTTGTAGTCCTGGGCCACGGGCAGCCAGGTGGATGGGGCATCGCTGAAGCCAGCGTTCTTATCGTCGCTCCACTGGAAGGGCGTGCGCACAGGATCGCGGGTGAGGCGCTCAAAGTCCTCCTCGTTGGCCTGGCAGGCCTGCGGATCCACCGTATCCTCCCAGCTGATGTAGACGTCCGTCATGCCCATCTCCTCACCCTGGTAGGTGATGCTGATGCCGGGCAGTGTTAGCACAATCATGTTGGCCGCATCGATGCGATCGGCGCCCAGGCGGGAGCCAATGCGACTCTGGTCATGGTTGCCAAACACCCAGTTGGCCACCTGTCCCTCGGGCATGTTGTCCAGCCAGTTGTGGATCAGCTCCGAGTAGTGGTAGGCGTCCGAGTCGAAGCCAATGTTTGCCAGCAGATTGAAGTTGAAGGGGATCTGCGAGCCGAGATGCGTGCCATTGCCGTAGTACTGCATCAGGATGTTCAGCGGGGAGTAGGCCTCGGTCAGCAGAATGCGATCGTCGCCGCCCAGCTCCTGGTCGATTTCCTCGATCACCTCGCGGAAGGCGTACACCAGCTCGATGGTCTCCGGCTGGTCGGTGGTGTAAATGTGCTGCAGATAGGTGTAATCCTCGGGATCGTTCACGTACTCGTTGCGTGGCTCGTCGGGCCAGTTGCCATCGGCATCGGCGGGCACCTCGTACACATGGGGCACGGCATCGATGCGGAAACCGAAAGCACCCTTGCGCAGCCAGAAACGGAGCACATCCTTCATGGCCTCCACCACCTTGGGGTTGCGATAGTTGAGATCCGGCTGCTTGGCATGGAACTGGTGCAGGTAGTAGGCCTGGCGGCCCTCGTGCCACGTCCACATGGAGCCACGGAACACGCCAATCCAGTTGGTGGGTGGCTGCCTAATGCCGTTCACCACCTTGCCGGTGTGCCACACATAAAAGTCCTTGTACTCCTCCTCACCAGCCGCCGAACGAACAAACCAGTCGCACTCATCGCTCGTGTGGTTGGGCACAAAGTCCAGGATAATCTTAATGTCCAGCTCCTTGGCGCGTGCCAAGAGCCTTTCAAAGTCCTCCATGGTGCCGAAGATTGGATCGATATCGGTGAGATTGGCCACATCATAGCCAAAGTCGGCCATGGGTGAGGTAAAGATCGGCGAGAGCCAGGTGGCAGTAATGCCAATTTCCTTCAGATAAGCCAACTGCTGTGTAATGCCTGCGAAGGAGAATGGATAAAGATCAGTTGAGAACTTGTGCGAACGGGGAAACACTCACCATTGATATCGCCCACACCATCGCCATCGCTGTCCTTGAAGGATCTGGGATAGATCTGATAGAACTGCGCCGATTTCCACCAGCCCACCTCAGCCAAAGTGGGCAGCGTAAGGGCCAGCAGGCAGGAGAGCGTCAAAAGTTTGACCAGTGCTCCCATTTCGATCGATTGCCAATGCTTAATTGGATTAGACGCGGCCTCTATTTATGCACTACACAAACCCGGCAGACTACGATCGTAATAAACCGCCGCCCATATACCAACATATGGCCAATACTATTTCTGATTAGCTTTGTGGCTTTTGGCAGATTTATGACAGTCATAGCCACGCTGGTTTCCACCTAATTGTTCTCCTGATAGCAACCAGGTTCATATGATGCAAAGTCTTTGGTATTTATTGACGACAGCACCCGGGGAGCTTTCACGTTCGGAGATCATGAGACAGATTGGCAGCCAAATGTGTGAGTTGCATAGAATTTCCTAACTTAAATTGGTCATATCTTATCGGCCAACTCTTTTTGGATTGAATAATTTATAGTCTTACTTCTGGGGGGGGTTATTTTGAATAGGCTGTGGCCGGTAAATAACTGGCGACTCTCTTGGGGGGGTTCAAGGTTGCGATAAGACAGTCGTGCGAAGAGATTAGCTAACTTAAACTGAGTAAGTGTAGGTCATGAAGGGGTCTTCCAGCATGGCTCAATGTCACCTCTCTTTTTGCTAGCATCCAATATCCAATAGCCAAATCCCGATGGCAGTTTTTCCCTTGGTCCAGTATGTGTCTCAGTTAAAGAGCTCCTGACTCAGCTGAGTTTATTCCATAAGCATTTCTCTCGGTCAAAGGTCTCCTCATATATTGCTCCCTGCTGTTGTTGCTTGAAAGTCATAAATGATAAGCCTTAATGCCAAATAGTTTATAGCAGGGACGCTATCATTTGGGCTAAACGTTTCGTATATAAGAAACGTATTATATTCCTAATATTTTCAGTTAACAATGACTTCTTGGTTGAGCCTGTTTCTGTTGATAGGCCTTGGCCTTCTGGCCGTCGATGCGGCCTCTCCCTGGTGGAAGACAGCCTCGTTCTATCAGATCTATCCGCGTTCCTTTAAGGACACCGATGGTGATGGAATCGGTGACTTGAATGGTGTCACAGAGAAATTGGAATATCTCAAGGAGATCGGTGTGACGGCCACTTGGCTGTCGCCTTTCCTGAAATCCCCCATGGCCGATTTTGGTTACGACATCTCCGACTTCAAGGACGTGGATCCACTCTTCGGCGACATGGAGGACTTTGAGAACATGGTCGCCCGTGCCAAGGAGCTGAATGTGAAGATCATTCTGGATTTCGTTCCCAATCACTCGAGCGATGAATGCGACTGGTTCATCCGCTCGGCAGCTGGCGAAGAGAAGTACAAGGACTACTACATCTGGCATCCCGGCTTTGTCGATGCCAACGGGCAGCGTCGTCCACCCACCAACTGGGTGAGCGTGTTCCGCGGCTCGGCCTGGGAGTGGCATGAGGGACGCCAGGAGTACTACCTGCATCAGTTCCACAAGAAGCAGCCCGACTTCAATTTCCGCAATCCCGTGGTACGTGAGGAGATGAACAATGTGCTTCGCTTCTGGCTGGAGAAGGGTGTGGACGGCTTCCGCGTTGATGCCATCTACCATGCCTTCGAGATTGAGGCGGACGCCAATGGCAACTATCCCGATGAGCCGCGCAACGATTGGACCAATGATCCGGATGAGTATGGCTACACCCACAAAATCTACACCGTCGATCAGCCAGAGACCCCTCACTTGGTGTAAGTGCAGCTCTATGGAGGGGGAAGTAATAGTTAAAGAATGGAAAAACTCACGATATTTCATCTTTACTTACAGATTCGAATGGCGTGAGATTCTCGAGCAGTTCCAGGCCGACAATGGTGGCGATGAGCGGTAGGTGGTTGTCTTCTCGTAACGATTATGTCAATCTTTATGTTTGTTTGTTGCCTTAGCATTCTCATGGTGGAGACCTGGTCACCCATTGAGATCGTCATGGACTACTATGGCAACAGCACGGCCGATGGCGCCCAGATACCGTTCAACTTCCAGTTGATTAGCAATCTGCACTACGATTCCGATGCCTATCACTACGAATACCTGATTAACAATTGGCTGAACCTGATGCCAGAGGGCAAGAGCGCCAACTGGGTGGTAAGTGCTATCACGATACTCCCACTCCCGCATTCGCATAACACATAATCATACGATCAGATTGGCAACCATGACAAGAACCGCGTTGGCTCCCGATTCGGTGCAGATCGCGTCGATCTCTTCAACATTTTGTTGCTTACGCTGCCTGGCTGCAGTATCACGTACAACGGCGAGGAGATCGGCATGCTCGATGGCTACGTGTCCTGGGAGGACACTGTGGACCCGCAGGCCTGCAACGGATACGAGTCGAACTACATGGAAAATTCACGCGATCCCGCTCGTACCCCCATGCACTGGTCAGACGAAAAGATGGCTGGCTTCACCACTGCATCGAGCACTTGGTTGCCTGTGGGTCAGGACTATGCCCAACGCAACGTGAAGACGGAGCGTGGAGTCTCTCTCAGCCATCTGAATATCTTCAAGCGGCTGCAGCAGCTGCGCAAGGAGCCCTCCATCGAAGAGGGCTCTGCCGAGATCAAGGCAGTCAGCAACTACGTCCTGGCCGTCAAGCGGTAAGTCTCCTGGCCTGCTCTAACC